CTCTGTCAGTTTTCATTCAAATTTGGCACATACATGTACTTTATACATGTGAGGATGCATGTCCATGACAATTTGTTTCAAAATCTGGTCAAGGATGGCTGATTGACAGCCATCTGACTTTTTGACCTTACTACTATATTTCCACAATTTATGTACCATTTTCATTCGTATTTGGCACATACATCATACATATCAGTGTGTTTCATAATCAGATCAAAGATGGCTGAATAACGGCTGTTTTTATTTTGGCCATATTACTATGACACGAAACACGTGTTTTGATGTAAATAAACAATCTGTTGTATACGCCACTTGGAACTCAAGTTTCAAGGACACGCTCGCGACAACCCCTCCGCTTTAATATGACGAGCACAAAGAGAACTTAACGGGGACTTGTTTTGAATTGTGTGTATTATGGAAATATGTATTATACTTTCCGTTTACAGTAGTATTCAGTAACGTCCAAGTATTGGCTATCGCTTCAGCGTATTTAACGCTTTTGAATAATGTTTCAACATGTGTGGATTTACACTGATTCGCGAGTGTTTTGAATTCTGCACTAGGACAATCTTAAAACTTTCCCAGTAATTCATGCATTTTCCAACCATCATATACATGTATGTCACATAATTTTAAACTTCTTCCATTTTGCAGACTCCAGTGGCGAGAGCTTCAGTGCCAGTTCGACCAAGAACAGTCGTCTGTTATATCTGTGGACGGGAATTTGGAACCAAATCCATCTCTATACACGAGCCACAATGTATGAAAAAGTGGCACTTAGAAAATAATAATCTACCAAGAGAATTTAGACGACCAGTACCTAAGAAGCCAGAAGTCAGATTGATAAAAGGTACCAGAGTTGTGTGCCATTTCATTTGCCAAGAAAATTGTATTGTATATCTGTAAAACCATTTATTTTCACTGGCATCTATTTCACTATTTTGGTGCTTTGAGCTTTATTACTAGGTTTTAAGTTCACTACATTCACATACCAGTGAATAATTACTGCATTTACTGTTGAATTGGCATCTGTGAGATATATTACTTATATAAAATAAAATTGTATTGTTTCAAACATTGAAACATATTCAAACTTCAGCTGTTTTTTTGTAATATTTTTTTTTATTTTATATTTAATCCACCAAATGAAGGCATATTTTGAAAAATAATTATCTGTATGAAAATATCAATTAAACTGCTTGCTATGACATGGTGTGTCAAATCTATTTACATTGCATGGGTTTTTGTATAAAAATGATAATTTTTGTGTGTTCTCAATGATAATATTAAACACTAACAATCACGAACTTTTTCTTATCTACGCAGGAGCTGGTGGATCTTACAATATTGAAGAAATGAACGAAGCATCCTGGGCGGCAGCACAGGCTAACTTGTCACCATGTCCAAACTGTGCTCGTACATTCCTACCAGATAGACTACAAGTTCATTTAAGGTCGTGTAAACCAAAGAATTAGAATAGTTTGTATATGTCACAGCACATTCATTTATGTAATTCCCCGACACATTATGTTTTACTTGCAAGTTATGCTTGAGTGAAAATGAAACTAACAAATATATGTTTTGAATAAATGGTGTTGAAAGAAGATATTTACCAATATAGTAAAAAGAATATTAATATATTTATTTATTTTCTGCACTGTTTTAAGATAAGCATTTACATTTACCAATAGCTAAGCATAAACCTGTATTTACAAATGTATGTATATAGCTTCAATATAGAAAAGAAAATTTACATTACAAGATGCAGGGACAATATAAAAGTAGTTTTTGCATACATTCATTCATTTATTTGTGAAACGATTTCACCATAGATAGATAGATTCATTTGTCGTGGGGATTCACTGTTTATTACTGGTACTTTCTATCACCTGGTGAAAAGTCTAAAATAAAGTTTGTTTTTACTGACAAATGAGTTAGATACATAAAATTTGAGTTGACACTTGTACCATTATTGAAAATATGTTACATATTCTATGTTTACTTTATGTTTTATAAATATGTGTCATTTGCTGTTATAAAAATGCAAAAAATGAAATAGTAAATATTGGGTCAGTGTAGATATTTTTCAAAAAATATGTGTTTCAATATTTTTAGTAAAAAGAGCAAGTTTAGAGTGTTTTTTTTTTACCATTGTTTCTGATGGCAAAGAATTATCTCATAATTGTGTTTGGTAACAGAGTAAGCAAATATATTGTCTCCGTGTCAAGATATATTAACAAATTGAATGAATTTTTAATGAAAAATGGTTTTTATTTGTTGTTTTTTTATGAAAACTTGTACATGTATTATATTGTTTTTTGGCAGTTTTTTTTTCAAATTAGATTTACGAAAAACTCATCATACAGAGTTGAATATTAATACTGAAATAATTCGTAATAGAAACACTAAACATTGAATAATATTGCTGTTAATATGCACACATGTTAAAAAAGTGTGTACCACCATAAAAACTGTGTTTTCACAGTCACATTGTGATTCACATTGAATTTTATTTTACATTCTCTTTTATTACTCCATGTCTTCAAACTCCTACGATCCCAAATCACATGTTAAAATTTTGTTTACACAATCAATGTATTTTACATGTATTATTTATGTAACATGGCACCAATATCAAACATCATGCGTTACAGCAGCCATGTCACTTCAGATAAACAATCTAACAAGCGTCTTTTGTCTGATGATTATTTATACAATATCACTCATTTTAATTTTAAATGCTACAGTGGTCACAAATTTCATCTAAACAATGTATTTTATATGCATTGTATACATCGTATGGTATTCAAACACGAGTTGACGTGATGACTGCAGTACTTTGATTTTACATATTTGACATACTGTGGAGCTGTTTTGTGCATTTCTTGGGATGGGTTAAAGAATTTTGTGTACCATGGCCATGTCATTTTGCCACTGCAGTGACATTGTCTTTATATACCTTTATGTCATTACAATATTTTTGTTACACTCATTTTTTGTTAATATGCACAAATAAATAGTGTGTCATATTCACAACGTGTCGTCTCAGTATAATAAACCTATTACTAGTACCGGTTACTATGAAGCAAATACAAAGTCAGGTTATTATAACCTTTGGTGACTTTTCCCCTTTAATACTACTGCTGTCTTTGCAAAGTATTGTTCCCTTGTATATCTATAATCCCCCTACACTGTGTGGTTTGGTAAAGGTCTCATAATTTTAACATGAGTGGATTGTCAGTATGTAAAGTGAAGACTATCTTCAAGGTCAGTAAATTTATTTCCCTTAAATTGGTTTTAAAAAAATAAAAAAACAATAATTATTAAAATGTTATATAGATATCAAACTAAAATCTCTGCATACAACACATTGAAGTACGCCCCCAGTGTTGAAATATCTGTACACTTGTTTAAGGTAAAGATGCAGGTTGAAAGACGTTTTTAATTGGTTGTAATTACACGAGTAAAATATAACTTTTACCCATCAAGTTGTATATCATTTGGAAGAGTTTTATATAAACTTTCCTGTTCTATCACAGGGAGCCCAGGAACTATGATCAACTGTAGGCACTCCCTATGAGCGCGCGCGGGGGGGGGG